CACATGTTTATTTGTTTTATTATAATTGGCTTTGTTTTATTTGTTTTGTGAATTAATTATGATATAAGACCATTTTCTGGTTAGGTAAAATGGGGGTGTAATCCTTTTCATCTAAGAATGTGTTTGTTTTGAGGGATTATTCTATGGGATTGGACTATTAGTCCATCTAGACTAATAGTCCATTGTTTGATTCAATTTTTTTGCTTTGGATTAATAGTCTCTCATGTGAGGGATTATTGTATCCTAGGAGGGGAGGTGAGATTATTTCCATGGGATTGGTATCCCATGGACTAATGTATGAAATGTCCATTTTATCCTCATGCTATTACTTAATAAGCAATTGAAAAATGATAAAATAGTCTTTTGAACATTTATAAATTATTTTTTTAAGTGTTGTTAATTTAAAATTATATATTAAATATTAAATAAAAAATATAAATTATAAATTATATATTTAATTTAATTAAAAATAATAAATTAAAAATTATGGCCTTATAAATTAAAAAAATTTAGTGTTGTTAAATTATAAATTATAGATTACAAATTTAAAATTATATATTAAACAAAAATTATAAATTACAAGAGTAAAATAGTCTTTTGAACATTTATCCTTATACAGTCCGTCCAACCAAACATTGGATTCACTAAAAATAATCCAATCTAGACATCTAATCCCATGACTAAACAAACATAGGATACAAATCAAGTCCAACTAAATAGTCCAGGGACAATGTATCCCAGGACTAACAATCCAGTGGGTTACAAACGCCCTTATCTAGTCTGTCCAAAGAAACACACACTAAGTATCTTAGGTCTCGTTTGTTTTCAGAGGTAGAATGGAGGGGATTGTTATTGAGTGGATTGATAGTGAGGGGATTAAGTAAAATTGTGTTTGTTTTGATGATAGTTGTTAGTGTAGGGATTGTCAAACTATTTTTATATAAAATAATTAAAAAAATACAAAAAATACAAAAAAATTAAACATTAATGTTTTTAAAAAAATACCCAACATGTTAAAAATTTTAAAAAAATAAAAATAAAATAAAAAATTTCCAGAAAAAAATAAAACAAATAAAGTAATGATTTTTACTTAACAAAAAATACAAAAAATTAAACATTAATGTTCAAAAAAAAAATGCCCGACATGTAAAAAATAAATAAAAATAAAAAATTTCTAGTCCGCCGGACTATTTTTCTAATACCTAAATTCGAATCCCCTTGGGGAGGTCCATCATAATCCGAAGCTCACTATCAATCCCCTCCACATCTCTCAAAACAAACACAATATTAGTGGGTCCTACCTCACTACCAATCCCAATCGCCCTCAAACTCTCTAAACAGACGGGGCCTTAGTTCTAACCATTTGAATCCTAGTGGGCTTTTGATAAAAATAATGCATCCGACATTCTCATAAGTTTTTATTTTTTATTTTTTTAATATATATTCTTTTGTTTTTACTATTTTTTTTATATTTTAATTTAAATACACCTAAGTACAGTATATGTGAAAAAATCAGAAAGCATTTCAGTAAAAATAAAAAACACATGGAAATATCATATGTATAAACTTTTTTCAAATTTCTTCACATATATTTTACTTTTTAAAGTATTTAAAAAACTAAAAAACACTTGACGTAAATATGATAAATTTATTTTTAAAACACAAAAGCAATAAACCGAGCATTTTTTTAAAAAAACCTTAACCAAACAAGGGCGTTCTTTTTTTAATAAAATTTATTTTCATAAATGTTTTATTTTAAAGTAAAAGATTCTTAATAAATCATACCATGGTATGAATAAGAAGTGCTTATTTTTAGTAGCTAAAGATTGTACATTTGCCGACAAAATTTTTTTAGTGACTAAGGTATGTGCCTTTGCTTACTAAATTATTTTTAATAGCTAAATATTGTACCTGATCAAATTTTTTTTAGTCGGCATTTTTAATCGCCAAAGATGTATTTTCTTATAGGGCCATTATGTACAAAAATTTTGGATGATTTTTTTTTATTATTGTTTCATTATTCTTCAAGTAATATAGGAGAATGCACCAACACGTTATTGTGTCTTTATCAACTTGGGAAGTGTATTATTTGCAAACACACAAGTTCACAAAGTCCTTGCGTGTGGCCTTCAAGATATTGTGAATCTTTGGATGTCATTTTTGAGATCAGGGTTTTGAGTACTTCCTCTGGCCACATTGCTCAAGTTATTGTTGGTGAAGCTCTTAAGTATGTTTCTCAAAAAGGGCATAAGGCCAGTACATTGCTTAAGGAGACTGACTTCTCAATTAGTGTTTCAAAGTATTTGAATAGGAAGTTATTAGTCCATACATGAGCCTTTCTAGTGGATTGGAGTCCAATTGTGTGAGAGGAGTGGTAGGCCACAACTCTTTCCGACTCCATTCCACTTTACAGAAGTCAAACTTAATGTGTGTTTTACTTTTGATTATTTAAATTGAGGGAGTATTTCCCTCAACTCAATAATTCATACTTAGTCTTCGTTTAACAATGACTTTTTTAGTTAGTTTTTTGACTTTTTTAATCCAAGACTTTTTTATTCATTTGGTATTCTTGATTGACTTTTTTGGCTTTTTAACTTTGCAATGGTATTTTTTTTTTATCCTTTTGTGATTTTTGACTTTTTTTTTTTGTTGTCATTTTGTGATTTTTTACCCAACTCAAAAACCAAACAATCCCAGATGATTGGTATTTTGTAAGATGAATATGTAGTTTTTGTGAATTAGAGTCCGATTGTGAGTGAAGTTGTGGCTACAAGTCCTTTTATAGCTAGAACTTAAAAAGATTAGACCTATTTTGTTCTTGGCTTCTGGGCCTTTTGAATCTTTAAATTAAAAAAATAATCTTGCATCGGTCTATAAAACAAGTCAATTATACAAAGAATACATACAAATAATTTTTCACTCAAAATTCTTGTACAATTTTAAAATTTTCATTTTATGGTTTTCTCAATTCAAATAATTACATGTACTGTTATGGCTCATAATTTAAAAAATATTGATTCCATTTTATTTTCGATGATTTTTTTTTAATGAATATTTAGTTTGTGTAACATTTTTATTTTACAAATTAGATGAATATTAAGACAGCACAAACCTTGAACACAGCCACATCAACTCTTCAAGCAATTTCATAGATCAACTCAAACCACTAGTTAACCAGAAAATACAATATTGTTAAGGATGCCCAACTCAAATCTCTCTAGCTTATGCAAAGCCAATATTTCAATTTAGTTTTTGCCAACAAGATGCATTTTATTTTTTCACAAAATTTTCTATAAGAATGATCGATGTAGCCCAACATCAAACGTGCTGTAAATGATAAGAATTCAATGCAACACAACCCCCTGATTCTGATCCGATATCTACTCCATTCATATTTTTAAGAGTTTGCATATAATTCTTCTTTCTTGCTTGCCCTTTTTGTTTTTCCTCTTTTTGTTTCAATTTTTGGGTTATTTGGAATTTGCATCGAAGAGTAAAATCATGTCAGATAGTTATACATTATAACTTAAATGATCACTTTCTTATTATTTTCTAAATCATTTTTCCAACAACATTTCATCGCATTTTGGTGAAAGTAAATGTACCCCACACAGATGCAGTCAACTGGCACTGCCATGGAACCATTGAAGCAGAGCTCCTCCCTCATAATTTTATCTCCCATGGTTCCCATCTACCACAGCTTGCTTTATTGGAAAGCTAGCTACTATCCGTACACTATACTACTGGCTTAACATTCAAATGGCAGATGAGTTTGTTTAAATAGACCTGTTGACTTAAATTGAAAATATTTGAAGACTACCAAGAAGAAGAAAAAAAATCATTCAACAGTGTGACCAAAAAAAAAAAAAAAAAAAATAGAGAATTATAAATGCATTTTCTTCCCCCCCCCAAAAAAAAAAATTCAAATCAATGATAAAGTATATAAGCATTAATAATTAAATTTATAAACTTTTTCACTAATCTGTAAGTATTTTGTAAAAATCACATGGATTTGTAATTTTTAAGAAAAATAAAAAATACCCAAACATGATGGGGTCCACAGAATTTGAGTTGCACCTATCATATTTGTAACAAAAAAAAAAAAAAAAAAAGCTTGGTCCAAAAAATTATTATGCTGAGTCCACCCGGGTCCGTAACAAGTACCTTTTAGGATGGTGTTTCTTAATCTTTTTAGAAAGTATTTTATGTATTATGCGATTGGTGTATTTTTCCATTTATTATTTGTCAAACTATATAAGTGAGATTTGAAAGATCATTTTATATTCTATCTGAGGTGCTGAAATTTTACACAAATCAAACTCTACTGTTTTTTAATTTTTTATTTTATTTTATCAGATGACAAATATTAAATAAATAGATCAGTTGACTACTAGTTAGATAAACGATTCTCTCTATGCAGGAGAGAGACATTGTTTGGGAAAGGCTAAAAATTAGTTTTTTGGGTTAAAATTCACAAAAAAATAAAATATGTTAAAATAGTCAATAAGATTAAGGCTTAGTTTGGCATCTACTATATCATCCATCTTTTTATCTTTTTTCCATCACATCACCTCTCTACTTTTCTGCGCATCTTTTCGTAAAAAGATAAAAAGTGCACTTTTTTAGGACACCCCAAACCAACCATCAAATCAAACTCACAATTATTTCACTTTTTTTTTCACAAACATCACAGACTATAAAAAAAAATCTAATCATCTTTTCAAAAATAAAAATTTTATCCTACTAAAATAGTCAACTTCCCAAACAAGGCGATAGAGTTCTCACGCACGGCTCCTAATAACATACATACGCTGTGAACAGTGTTGATTGTAATAACTAAAGATTAATACACACGCATATACACCAATCAGTTGTTGAAATGTTTCTTGAAGCTTGTCATGTGCATCTTTGTCACCCTTCTTTTTTATTTTTTATTATTATTTTTTTTTTGGCTTATATAGTAAGCCTAGATTTAAATCTCTCACCAAAGCAAAGTTTTGAACCTCCAAAAACCCTCCCTTTTTTTCTCCTTCCGTCTCTCTCCCTCTCTCTCTCATGGACAATTTTTTCTTGTTATTGTATGTCATACCAATCTCCTTCCTCTTCTTCAAGCTATTCAAGATTGTAGATCAAAAGAGACACCAATCATGCTACATATTGGACTACCAATGCTACAAGCCAAGTGATGACAGAAAGCTCAACACTGAGTTCTCTGGGGAAATCATGAAGCGAAACAAAAACCTAGGCCTCAACGAATACAAATTCCTCTTAAAAGCCATTGTCAGCTCAGGCATTGGAGAACAAACTTACGCACCGAGAATGGTTTTTCTCGGACGAGAAATCTGTCCACCATATGAAGATGGGATCTCCGAAATGGACGAATTCTTCGTGGACAGCATCGACAAGGTCTTGACGAGATCAAATGTTTCTCCCTCGGAGATCGATGTTCTCGTTTTAAATGTGTCGATGCTGTCTTCAGTCCCTTCTTTAGGTGCTCGAATCATCAATCGATACAAGACGAGAGAGGACATTAAGGTCTACAATCTCACTGGTATGGGTTGTAGCGCGAGCCTAATATCAATCAATATTATCGAAAACATATTCAAGACTCGCAAGAATTTGAATGCTCTTGTTGTGGCATCCGAGTCATTGACTCCCAACTGGTACCCCGGCAATGACCGATCGATGATACTGGCAAATTGCTTGTTTAGGTCAGGTGGGTGTGCTATACTCTTGACTAACAAACTGAGTTTACAACACAGAGCCATGTTTAAACTCAAGTGCTTGGTTCGAACCCACCACGGCTCGAGGGATGAGGCCTATGGTTGTTGCATGCAGAAAGAAGACGAACAAGGTCGAATAGGGTTTTACTTGGGTAAGACCCTTCCAAAGGCGGCCACACGAGCTTTCATAGACAATCTGAAAGAAATTTCACCCAAAATATTGCCTCTTCAAGAGCTGCTTCGGTTCACAATAGCCTCATTTCGACGAAGAATGAGTCAAAACCCTAGTAAAACCGGAGGAGGTATACCGGTGATCAATTTAAAGACAGGTGTGGATCATTTTTGCATACACACTGGAGGGAAGGCGGTGATCGATGGGATAGGACAGAGCTTGAGTCTGAGTGAGTATGATCTTGAGCCGTCGAGGATGACACTTCATCGGTTTGGTAACACATCGGCTAGTAGCCTTTGGTATGTGTTGGGGTACACGGAGGCTAAGGAGAGGCTCAAGAAAGGTGATAAGGTGTTTATGATTAGTTTTGGGGCTGGTTTTAAGTGTAATAGTTGTTTGTGGGAGGTGATGAGAGATTTGGGAGACAGAAATGCATGGGATGACTGTATTGATAGCTACCCACCAGGAACCCTAGCCAACCCTTTCATGGAGAAGTATGGTTGGATCAACAATGAAGATCCTAGCACCTTCAAACTTCCAGGATAAAAAGGTCACAAAGCTTCATGGTCAGTTTTTTTTTTTTTTTTAATCATCAAAATTCAAAACTCTATTGCTCCTTGTATTGATAGCGCCTTTTTTTTTTTTTTTTTTTTTTTTTTTTTTTTGAAGCCAATGATCTACCCATAAGTAATAAGGTGTGCCACGTAGTTGCGGGAAATGTTTATTATTTTTATTTTTAGTTTTACATGTTTTCCTCGAGATTGATGATAGTGGTATTGGTTACTTATTTTGTCATCATTCAAGAAACTCGTTTGAGATGATCTAAATAAGTGTACTTTTTGTCTTTTTATAAAAAGATATATAAAAAAGTAGAGAGGTGATGTGATGGAAATAAGATAAAAAGATAAAAATATTAATTATATAGGGGATGCCAAACCACTCCTTATCTTTTTTTACTAGAATTCTCTACGTTATTGAATAAATAAATAGATGGATTTGATTTATTTTTTTTTTATAGATAATGGACATTTATAAGCTTAGAAGATAAATAAATTTAATCATTAAAATAGGCTACATAGCAAACTAAGGAAAAAATTATTAAGTATTTCCAAGTCCATAACAATTAAAATTTAACAATTTTTACATTGTCTATTAAATTATCAACAAATGCAAAAATGTTGGGTCCTTTTATCTGAACTAATAACTATCAAGCTATAACACCGCCTTAAGGAGATCGTTTTTCTTTGGTTTTAAATTTCTTTCGTCCTTAAAATTGCTTAAGGAGATCGTTTTTCTTTGATTTTAAATTTCTTTCGTCCTTATAACTATTTACCTGCATGTTCAGTGTCAGCAATTAAATTTCAAAGTAATATAAAAATTTAATCATAAAAATAAAATATAAAGAGTTGATTTAAAATTAATATGTTATGAATCATATATACATATTTTAACTCTGAATAAATTTATAAATACTTTTCCAAGCACATACTACAACTAAATGAATTTTAGGCTTCGTTTGAGATGTGGGTTGATTTTTTGACTTTTTGATTTTTTGGTTATTTTAGCCTGAGGCTAAAAAGTCTCGTTTGGGATGGACTTTTGACTTTTTGACTTTTGTGAGAGAAAAAATATAATAATTATCAATTGAATGTGATGTTTTGTCTTATTAGACTAAAAAGTCTATTTTATGTTTTTGTGACTAAAATAACTAAAAAAACCTCAAGCTTTCTCTTCCCAAACGAAAAAGGACTTGAATGCCATAACTAGGCCCAGCTGCCCTCGACAAAAGATGTGGTTCGTTGCATATGTTTCTAAGAGACAAATAAAATTTTTCACCATATATATAAGTACATATATATGTATAATATAATATATAAATTATATCTATACATATAAAAAAAATTTAAATACCATAGAAGCAATTTCAAATAGGATAAAAAAGTTTTTTGGTGCAAAATAAAAAGAGAAAGCAAGATGAGATAATAATGAAATATGTATTTTTTATCACTACAAGAAAAACCACCTTTGGCGACTAAAGTTTTAGTCGCCAAAAGTCCGTTTTTAGTCGCCAAAAGTCGACTTTTTACTTTTCCCGAATAATTTTTTTAGTCGCTGGTTTTGTCGCGTATAGATAGTCGGCAGAGGTATTGGCGACTAAAACTTTTTTAGTTGCCAAAAAGCAGCTCTTTCGCGACTAACATTTTAGTCGCCAATAGTGATTTACACTTTTCAAAATCATACATTTGGCGACTAATCCTTTAATCGCCAATACTCACTGAATCGCCGACGAATCCATTTAGTCGCCAAAATAAAGACTTTTGGCGACTAATAATTTTAGTCGCCAAAGGTGCTTCCGTGAAAAAAAAAAAATTATCAACTTTTTTGCTTAAGATTCGAACCACGGACCTTCTACTTTGTAGACCTTTACCAACACACTCCCTCCACTATGCCACCACAAGATCACATGAATATATATGCAATATATATTATTTATATAGTATATTGACCCGTATTAATTTAAAACTATATATATAAATATAATTATTTTTATTCAATATTAATTTATGTAAAAAATAAATTAATTATTAAAAAAAAAGGGAGCCACTTTTGGCGACTAAAGTTTTTTTTAGTCGCCAAAAACCTTACTTTTGGCTACTACCAATAATTTAGTCGCTAAAAAAATTAATTTCCGCCTAAAAATAACCACTTTCGGCGACTAAACTGATTTTTAGTCGCCAAAACCGCCACTTTTGCCGACTAAACTCAATTTTAGTCGCCAATTGTCCACTTTTAGCTACTAAAAATTTTTTAGTAGCCACAAACCTTTACATTTGGCTACAACATTTTTTTTGTCGGTAAAACACCTACAATCGGCGACCAAACCATTTTTCAGTCGCCAAAGCCTATACTTTTGGTTACTAATCTTTTTTAGTCGCCAAAAACCTTCACCTTTGGCTACTAAAATTGTTTTAGTTGCTAAAACCCATGTAATCAGCGACTAATCTGATTTTTAGTCGCCAATAAGTACACATTTGGCTACTAAACTGTTTTAGTCGCCAAAAGTTTTCACTTTTTGCTACTAATTCAATTTTAGTCGCCAATTGTCCTACTTTCAGTGACAAAATTTATATTTTTGGTCGCCAAAACTGCTTTTTGTTGTAGTGTATACTGGGGACATTTTATATATAAAATGAGATATATATTTTTAAAATGGGGCGATGCACCAATAAATCCTAAATCTTTATCTTATGACCCATTTGGTCCTATAGTTTATCTTATGATCCAATTAGTCCCAAGCTTATGTTAATGACAAAATAACCAGTATTACACTATGTTTTGCGCTTTTTAATAAGGGTAAATGAGGAAAATCCCAACGTGGTATTAACTGAAATGCCCAAAACTCTGTAGATGTTTGTTTTCCCTCCAAACACATCAACAACATCAAACATCAACAAAACATCAACAACATCAAACTTTAAAAAAACATCATCAAACATCAAACATTACAACATTAATCATCAACATGTGAACATCAAACATTCCGGTCCAACAACGTCAACAAAAATTTTGAATTTTGGAAATTGACCATAGAGGGCATATACATCAAACAAAAACATCAACAACATCACACATTAACAAAACATCATCAAACTTCAAACATCACCGACATTAATCATCAACATATGAACATCAAACATTCCAGTCCAACAACATCAACAAAAAAAAATTGAATTTCAGGGCCTAAGCGAACATCAAACATTATTCTTCAAACATTGAACATCTCTACTATCAAACATCAAAACATCAGGGCCTAATTGAACATCAAACATTGAACATCAAAACATTGTTCTTCAGACTCCCATTTCCTCTGTGGAATTTCTAGATGGATTGATAACTGAGATCTCGTGGCAAGGTTTGCTTACGGTTCATGACACAACAGAGAAATCTACGAACCAAAATTCAAGAGAAACAGATTAAGATTTGAATTAATTAATAATTAAGGATTTAATGTGTAAATTGAATATGACTAGTCCTATTTACCTCTGGATCTGGATGTGTTATATGATCTCTTGCAGTGAAGAATGGTGCTCTGGATCCCATCGTGTTGTTCGAGAAGCGAATCGTCTCTTTTGGAAGCTACCGGCAGTATGATTCCAACGGCTGACGCAGCCGATCAGCTCTTTCTGAGATGCTTGCACACCTCTCGAAAAGGTGCTTGTCGAGACATAGACGGCGGAGCAACCGTTGTCTGCGGCGGCTTGGGCCCACTAAAAGACTCCACAGTGCTACTCAAACTGCTCGAAGTCGGCCTCTAACAAACATCTTCTCTCTCTTTCGCCATTGATGAATAGTTGCACAGTGAGAGAGAGAAATCACACCCTCAAAAGAGTATTGATGTAAAAATAAATGAATCAAATCACACCCTAAAAAATCTGGCAATACATTAGGACTAAATGGTATACAAAAAAATTTATAGGACTAAATGGTTTAACTTTTTCCAGCATAGGATTTATGAGTAATCTTTTCTTTAAAATGTCATGACAAATCATATTTTTTACAGAAACAAAAAAGCTATGATCCTTTATAGTTTTGTGGTAGTTCCGGCCCTACACACATATTGCATTAGTTGCAAGGATGGATTTAGGGGTTGTGAGTGGAGGTGAGTGCACCCTCAAAAATTTTAAAAATATTATATATTATATTAAAAAATTTTAAATAATTAAAAATTATAAGAAATTATATTTTTAACATTTTTTCATACTCTCATAATAATAATTCTGAATCCGTCCATAATGAATTGGAGGATGAAGATTATTGGTTATGACACACCTTCAGTGCATGTCCATTCCAAGCAAACCATGGACACTACTAATAGACGGCTCTACTCAATGAAAATTTTCCATGTTGTCTATGTCCAAGGCCGATCCCGAGATTTAGGGTCTAATGCGAATTTTAGAAATGGGATCCTCTCACATTAAAAAAAAAAAAAATTATAGAAGTTACAAATTTTTTATTTGTTTGTATTCATAAAAAAATTTACTTGCACATATAATCATTAAAATTATAAATAAAAATTTATTTTCATATATTAAGATAGGAAGCAATCATTAAAAATATTTTAAAAAAATAAAAATTTAGTCTTGTTGCTTTTTTTTGAACCCCATGTTCTTTGGGCCTATAGTATTTGAACCTTATTTTTTTTCTAATATTTAAAAGACAAAATTATATTTGGGGGCCCCTATTTTAGCCCCTAGTTGGGAGCCCAAGGCGCAGGCTAGGGCTGAGCAAGGAATCCGTGAAGTCCGTAATCCGATCCAGTTCAGTCCAATCCAATAAGTCTGGATTGGTTTTTTGAATCCGTGGTTTGGTTTTGGATTGAAGAATTAAAAATCCGTAGTCCACGGATTGGTTCTAGATTGAACCACACGGTTCCGGATTGGAACCGATCCGGACCGTATACAAATAGTCTATATTTTTATTATACATCCTCCCCCATAATATCTTCTCTTATTCCATATAAAACTTAAACTCAAACCTAAACTCGCATAATATCTTCTTTTATTACTTTTGTTTGTTAGTTTTTAATTTTAATTTGTAATGGTCTAAATATTTATGGTGAAACCAAT